AAGGTCAAGTAAACTCTGAAGAGGCAATTCTTCCCAGTCCTGTTGTGAGTGCCTCCCAAACTAAGGGGCTAATCTTCTGGCATGATAGAAAATGCTCACTGCTAATGATAAGATTTTCAGGACCAATGTTTTTAGAATTAGATCACGAGATCCTCCTTGCTAGATCTCATACTGTGATAACTGTTGAAACCCGTTCAACATGTTTGACCCTGTTGCTATTTGAAATAGTTTGCAGCATCACATCAACATTGACAAAAGCATGCTGGTTAGTACCCTTAGGATCATGGCTTTAATTTCTCAACACAGTCTCATGGTTGCAATATGGAGACCACAGTTCTAAGCATCATGTCTCTATGTGACAATGTCACATACAGAAAAGAAGAGATTGAAATAAACAATTTTTAAATTGCTCTCTTTCATGGCCCTCAATTCTTTTATCTGGGAGTAAAATTTTTATGAAAGCTCATTCCTTTTTCCCATTTATTTGCCAAAACAAGGCCCATGTCTAATTTCAAAGCAATACTTTCTGGCAAAATAAGTCTAAACTTGTCATTGAGTCACACAATGGGGATATGTGTCCTGGGCCCAAACAAGATCAGAGTATTTTAGTAATGCAAAAGGGAGCTGGCCATTGAAGAGTCAACCAACAGGGTTTAACACACATCACTAAAAAGGTTGAGGAATGTATTTACTGGTTATATGGAGTTTCTCATTTTTCGGTGTTCTATCTTTTCCTTGGATAGTGAGATAGGTAAGGTTTATTATGCCAACCTGGCCGATAAATGCATGTGAGATTAATTGAAGGCTGGAGAGATGAATGGCTTGGTGAGCCTCACCTTTTTCGTTCTCAGGTCTCTTGTTCTCTGATGGTTGGACGAGGGTGCAGCTGCCTTAGTAAGTTCCCTGATTCAGCTGACAAGGCTCACTTCCTGCGAGATATCCCTGAGGAGAAGCCACATGGACCTACCCTGATGCAGCCCTGGGTGCTGAAGCAGCCACGTGGATACCCCTGCCAGCACTGAGATGCTTACACACTCACTGATTCGGCTTTCCTCCTGCAGTCAGTATCATTGCGTGTGTTTTGTGAGATTCAGGAGGTCTTTGTAGATTAATGTTGGACATATGGGCTAATGCTGGACTTATGGGCTTGGACAGCACTGAGTTGGGATGCTTTCTTGATGTACATTTATCCTTTACATAAAACCCTCTCTTACATATATGAGTTTCTGTGTATTTGTTTCTCTAGTCTACTCAGACTAACAGAGATAGTGAGCATTTAAGTGAAATCAAAATGTGTCACAATTCCAAGAGCATTTCTAGTTATCCTTTCTGTGCATAATCTAGTTTCTTAATTAGTATAATAAGGAAGCACAGCCCTTTTACGAAGTTGTAAAAAAATAAGTCAAAATTTAAAAAGAGCTGAGTTCTTAAAATGGTACAGATAGCTATCATACTTCATAGTTTGTTTACTTTACCATTTCAACTATGCTTTATTTAATTCTGGATTGCTCAGTTGCTTCAAAGGATAGCTGATGCTATAAATTAGGTCCTCCGGTCTCTCAATTATCAAGAAGTATTCCATTCAACACTTACTGGAAACCTTCTCTCTTTGAGCGTATAAGAACAGTTGCACAAGTAAAACAACACTGAAAATTCCAGAAAGAACTTGAATAATACAAATACATTTACAATATAATTTTGATTTGTAGGTATAAAGCTTTCTGAGGACAGTATATCAGTCTTTTCAAAAGGTGTACCTTTAAATAACTCTTATTTCCTTTTCTTTCATTTTCCTATCCATCTAATACCCTCATTCTTATTTTCCCCTCACCCTTCCAATAGTGACTCCATTTATCTAAATCTATTCCTCATTAGGGAATTTTAAGCCAGCAGATGGAGAGATAGATTACTTCCAAACATCTGCACCAAAATGTTTTACCTGAAACTCCTGCTGTGAATAAAATTGATTTTAATTGTATAATTTTTGAAAAAATTCTCTCTCAGGTATTGTAAGTTAAAGTGTTTCAGTGTAAGAACAAGTTACCTAGGCACTCTCTCACTGTTAGGCACACTCATTTTACAAACAAATAATGCAAATATTTCATCAGCATTAAAAATGGACTTTTGTTGGTAAACATCATATTTTATATCATGGATGCTTATGAAAGTCAAAGTTAAGCTTACTATACAATATTTAATGTGCCAATCAAATAGCAGCCCAGGAAAAAGAAAGAAAACGTGATCAAGTTTACCATTCTCTAGATACACCCAAAGAACCCATTATCTAGAAAGGCTTTAGAGGAACTAAAATGCAGCTCTATATCTTATAATCCTATTTTCACTCACACAGTAATAGAATTTTAGTAGCATCTTGGTATTTGGTGAGCAAGTTGTCCTTAGAGGTTTCCCAGGGAAAAGACTGCCCTATTACCTACAACACCTGAATACTCACAAGGAGCTAGTCACAGCCTTTCCAGCAGTCCCTCCTCCTCCTGAGAGTTTCCCCGTGGTGTTGCTATCTGCAGGGGCTCCCTCCACCAGCTCCATTCTCTCTAGGAGTTTCATTTACAGCTATGACTTCTAAATCTGTGTCTATAGCTCCAGCCTCTTAAGGACCTGACTTCTACCTTGCTAATAGATATCTATACATGTATATATGGGGACTTAACCTACACTCAGAGGAGCCCCGGGCTGCTGCAGTTACTGTCCTCAGAAGTTAATTGGAAGTTTTTAAGTTCAAGTCACCCAAAGGCATCTCAGAAGTGTGGCAAATCTATGAATGAAATATCAGACACTTGATACAGAGTACAGTTCTACCCTGACATTCATTAGTCAACATGAGTAGGAACTAGTCTATTGACAAGCGGTTTTTAACATATGCTCAGAAAAACCTGAACTCAATTTTTGGGTTCATTATCTGCATTCAAACATCACTATTAATTCAACAAACTTGGTTAGAAACCTGAACTATCCTAAAGGAGTATAGCTTCCTTAGTCATTCTGTAAAATCATTCATAAATATCTACCCTGAAGTCACTCACAAACATCTCTCACCTTTTTGTTCTCATTATTATAGACCTAGTTCAGTTCATCATGCCTTATATGGGGTTTGGTCAAAGATTTTAAAGCTGGTTTTCTTATCTCCTGCCTGCTACATCCAAGTAATCCTCTATGTTCCACTATTCAGTCAATCTTTGTTGAGCATCTTCTATGTGTCAGGTTGAGGTACTGTGTAAATGTTGCTATTAGATGCCATTAAGTCAATTCCTAATGTGACAAAGTAACCTTGACTCCATGGATTTCCTAGGCTGTATGTAATTGTTATAAAACAAAACTACTACTTTCAGGGAAGCTACTTGGTGAGTTTGAACCTCCAACCTTTCAGTTAGTGGCCCAAGGCTTACACATTGAGCTACAAAATGATAAGAAACCCAGAGGCCCTCTCTTTAGTGAACTGAGAATCGTGCTCATAATGTAGGGCCAACAACCAACAAATTAACTAAATTATCCATCACTCACTCACTGCCACTGAATCAATGCCAACTCATAGCAACCCTATAATAAAGGGAGAACTGTTCCTATGAGTTTGTAAGAGTGTAACTCTTTTTTTTTTAATTGTTTTATTAGGGGCTCATACTCTTTACAAGGGTAGAAATCCCCATTTTTCTCCTGTGGGGCTGCTGGTGGTTTCAAATTACTGGTCTTGTAGTTAGCAACCCAAAGTGTAACCACTGTGTCACCAGGGCTCCTTAAATAATGCATAGAATTATAATTAATATTTCACTGATGATGTTTGTAGGTAGGACAGTAAAAGAAGACCTTACTGAAGAGGTGTCCTTTAGATAGGAAGAGGCAAGCCAGAGAGAGACAGAGACAGACAGAGAGAGAGAGAGAGAAGGGAAAGTCAAGACAGATGGAGCTAGTTAGTGAATAGGGGAGAGAGGATAAAATGAGGTGGGAGAGGTGAGTGGAGCTAAAATCATTTCTGCACCAGAATTCTCTATCTCCTGTATTCCACAATGTATCAATCCTCAGCTTTAAAAACAATTAAGTGGCTCCTGAATACCAGGTGATACTATAATTCCACTTTGCTCAAGTGGATCCTCTTTTTTTTTGCCTGTTGAATTATAGGGGGCAATACATTTTACAGTCAACTAACTAGAGAAGAATACTGCAAAATATCCCTAAGGATGAAAACCAATACCCTTCTGAATCTGGTCACAAATCACTTTTATTTCTTATTCTTCATCATATCGCTATCACATACCTTTTTACCAGGTTATGGTTACTTGGTTACTCTGGTGGAATACACTCTGACAGTTGGGTTACACTGAGATACAGTTTTATCAGCAGTCTTAATGGGACATATATCCTCCATTCCCACGCTTTCTCTCAAGTTCCTGACTCTTGCTGGATGTTCTGTGTCCATCCACTGACTAATGGACAAACTATTGAGAGACCTCAGAAGCATTTCCAGAAAATAAGCAGAATGAATGACTTCCTCCTCTGTGCTTTGTCAGTGTCCTTATTGTAGTAGTAATCACACCTGATGAATTACCGGTACTTGCAGATCTGTTTCCTCTAATGGAAGGTAGATAATGGCAGGACGGCACCCCATCTTATGTGTCTGTTGAATCTTCACTGCCTACCACATGGCTGGCCCAAATCTAGTAATTGGTGTATGAGTACTGGGAGAATTAATTTATATAAAATCAAAGTCAAAATGTAAAGTAAAATAGTAAGGTTGGACAATAACATTTTAAAGTATATTTACCTCATAAGCTTAAAATATTATCTTTATATTTACATCCTACTCAATCTCCAACTTTATTCTAATGTCTAATATAGCCCTATTGATAAGAAAGTTACAATAACTTCATATGTACGACTAAGATTAAAAAAGAAAATCTACATAGGACAAGAAAATAAACCTATTTCTGAGGAAACTAACCATGCTGATGTTTGGTAATAAAAAGAAAACTGTGGTTTTAGACACTCACCATTCTTAAGAGATTCTGAGCAAATTCTGCTCAGAAGAAGTTTCTGGCGTAAAAGCAACACTTCCGTTTCCAAGGCTTCAACCTTTGATCTCCACTTAGACTCTTGCGCGGACACCACCCTCGCAAGATGCTCTGTGTATTCTCTGCTGCTTCTGTCCGCTGGTTTCGAGCGGATAATGGCCAGGGCTAGTGCCAACTTTGAAGTTCGCAAATACCACGCTTGAACATCCATTCTGGATTTTGCCCCTATTATTTAAGAAGAAACAAAAAGTTACAGAAATTCCTTTTAACTTGCCCAGTACTTTGCATTTGTTCAAACTGATTTCTCAGAGTTGTACTAATTAGTAAGTTTATATGCAACTTGGCACCAAGTTACAGAAAAAGATTCTAACAACTGTATGAGAAAAACAAGCAGAATAAAAATTTATACAGATGAATATTAAGTGTACTCAGATTCAAATAGTAGACTCACACAATTTCCCAAATTCTTGGGGTGAATAAAGATTCATTAATTTATTCAGTTATCTTGTAACCAGAGGTACATGTTACACACTTCTAGGGAATTTGGATAACAATCCATTATCAATTATATCAAACTTATTTGTACATGTGTTGCCATCAATATTTTCTAAACATTTACTTTCTATTGAGGCCTTGGTATCAGCTCCTCTTTTTCCCCTCCCTCATAGCTCCCCACCCTCATGGCCCCTTGATAAATTACATATTATTATTTTCATATCTTATACTGATCGCTGTCTCCCTTCCCCCATGGTTTCTGTTGGTCCCCCTAGCAGGGGGGGTGTGGTTAAGTGTCAATCACTGGGATCGATTCCCCCTCCCCACCCTCAACACCCCATTTGCTTCTGGTATTGCCACTCCCATTCCTGTTTCTGAATTCCATGTCATGAGCTCTTATTTTTTATCTGTACCTGTGCACATGCTTCAGTCTAGCCCTCAGTGAAAAGCAGGCCTGGCGTCATGATAGTGTGGGGTGAGGAAGCCTCAAGGAACCAAAGGAATACTGTGTGTTTCATTGGTGCTATACTACACCCTGGTTGACTCATCCCTTCCTTGTGAATCTTCTGTGAGGGCATATCCCATTGTCTACAGATGGGTTTGGAGTCTCTGCTCCAACCTACCTTGTTCTCAACAATGTGTTTGTTTGTGAGGTAGTCAGTTTATTGTGCCAACCTGGCTGATAAACACATGTGGGGTAAATTGAAGGGCAGAGGGATAAATAGCTTGGTGAGCCTCGCCTTTCTAGTTCTCGGGTCTCTTGCTTTCTGATGGGCAGAACAGGGTGCAGCTGCCAGCCAGTTCCCTGCTTTAGCTGGCAAGGCTTACTTCCTGCAAGAAAGGAGAAGCCACATGGACCTACCCCAATGCAGCCCTGGGTGCTGGGACACCCATGTGGAGACCACTGGCAGCACTGAGATGTCTACACGTTCACTGACTCGGCTTTCCTCCTGCAGTCAGCATCATTGCATCTGTTTTGTGAGATGGAGGAGGACTTTGTGGATTGGTGTTGGACATATGGGTTAATAGGTTAATGTTGGACTTCTGGGCTTGGGCAGCACTGGGTTTGGATGTTTTCTTGATGCACACTTAACCTTCATATAAAACATTCTCTTATACAGGAGTTTTTGTGGATTTGTTTCTCTAAAATACCTAGACAAACACAGTTTGTTTGTTCGTTTGTTTGTTTGTGGTCTTCTGATGCCTGTTACCTGATCCCATCAACACCTCATGATCACACAGGCTGGTGTGTTTCTCCATGTGTGCTTGTTGCTTCTCTGTAGATGGCCACTTGTTTAACTTCAAGCCTTTAAAACCCCAGGTGCTATATCTTTTGATACAGGCACCATCTGCTTTCTTCACCACATTTGCTTATGCACCGATTTTGCCTTCAGTGATTGTGCCAGGAGAGCATCACAGAATGCCATGTTTAACATCTGAAAATCCATCAATATTATACACCGCAATGATAGGAAAAAGACTAAGAATCACATGATAATATTGATAGATCCAGAAAAAGCATTTGACAACATCCAACAGCCATTCCTAATTAAGGCACTCAAGAAGATAGGAATGGGAAGAAAATGCCTCAACTTAATGCAAGCTATGAAAAGCCAACAGCCAACATCATAGTCAATGGAGAAAAGACAAAAACAATCCCACTGAAAAAGGGGACCACATAAGATGCCCCTCGTCCCCACTTCTATTCAACATGATACCGGAGGTCCTAGCTAACAACATAAGACAGCAAAAGAACATTGAAAGTATCCATCTAGGAGAGGAGGTGGTGAAACTATCACTATTTCCAGACAATATGAAAATCCTAAAACTCCAGAACAGGAGTGCGGACAGAGATAGAGAAATGTGGATGGTGGCTGGGTACAAGATCAACAAACAGAAGTCTATTGGTTTGCTATATAATTGGACAGAACCATGGAAAAGGAGATCAAGAAGGCAGTACCCTTCACAGTAGCCAAGAACAAACTGAAATATCTAGGGGTATATTTATCAAAAAAATCAAAAGACTTATACAAGGAAAACTACAGGACCCCTACTACAGGAAACCAAAAGTGGCATCCACAAATAGAAGAATATCCCATCCTCTTGGATCGGAAGATTCAATATAATAAAGATGTCAATCATACTCAAGGCACTACATAAGTTTAACACTATCCCAATTCAAATACCAACAACCTTCTTCAAAGAATTGGAAAAACTGACCACCAATTTCATATGGAGAGGGATGAAGCCCAGAATTAGCAGACAACTCCTCAAGAAGAAGGACGTCAGAGGGCTTGCTTTACCTGACTTTCTCACTTACTACACAGCTACAGTTGTCAAAACAGTGTGGTACTGGTATGACACATACTCAGATCAATGGAAAAGAACAGAAAACCCAGAAATAAAACCAGCAGCATATAGACAACTGATCTTCGACAAGGGCCCAAAAAGCACAAGTGGGAGGTAGATGCCCTCTCTTCTGTCTTGTCATGTGTCAGAATCCATTTTATAGTACTGTGTTTGGTTTGGGGTGTGGAAAAGATATGTCAGAACATTACACTCATGGATTAAAAGTCATCATCTCTCGGGAAGTTTAAGACCCTTGTGGGCCTATACCATGCTTTACTGGACTTTCATTTCATATAATATGTGCTAAAAAAAAAACTTTTTCATAAATAAAAGTGCATTGATTTAATGTGTTGGCCATATCTTTATGAGTGCTCTCTAGAAACAAAGATGTTAAGATTTGATCTCACGTATTTTTGATGCTACTAGGAGAGACCAGATTCTGGAAAAGGGCATCACACTTTTCCAGGTGGGTCAGTAAGAAAAAAGGGACAGGTAAGACAGATTGACACAGTATCTGGAACTATACTCTCTTAAACATAAGAACAATTGTGAGGATAACTCAGGACCAGACAGTGTTTTCTTCTGTTTTACATAGGGTCACTATGAGGTGGAACTCAATGGAAGGGACTTAACAACACAAGTTCAAAATCATCACCCCACATTTCAAACAGTATCGTTCAGTTCTATCCTGTCACTATGGTTAGTTGATGCCGACCAAACAAATACACACACTTCAAACGCATTCTCATTCATAACTCTGCTCATGAATTTTTCACTTTTTTTTTTTTAGGTAGTTAGTTTATTGTGCCAACCTGGCCGATAAACACATGTGGGGAATTTTCCACTTTTAACAGTTCTCCATTCTTTTTTTTTTAATCTGTCAGAGCACCCACTGTGCATCTTTCAAAGAACAGCTCATCTACCACTTTATAAAACCATCTCAGATTTATTCTCCCCAAGAGCAAGGTATACCTAGCTGATATCCTATAATTCACCACTGAAAATATGTAATCTAGCAGGTATAGTGCTATAACAATAGATGGTGAAAACAAAAATGTGTGCTCAATATGTTCATCACCACATTATTTATAATATTGATAACTGCAATCAAAAAGTAAATAATGGATTAACCACACAAGTAAATATTACATGGCCATTTAAAACTGGATTTGCAGGAACTTCTCAATGCTGTGGGGTGGGAAATGTGGGCTTAAAATTATATGTACAGTATGTTTTCAATTATGAAAAAAATTACAAAAATTGGATTTTTCACTAAGTATGCAATTATAGATCATTTGTATTTTATAATGTATATGCTTATTTTCCTATTCTCTGAAAATAGCAAATATTAACATCATCAGAAAAATATTTACAAAATAATAATTTATAAATTATCAAGGGATCATCAGGGAGTGGGGAGCGGGGAGGGAGGGGAAAAAATGAGGACCTGATGCCAGGGGTTTAAGTGGAGACAAATGTTTTGAGAATGACGAGGGTAATGAATGTACAAATGTGCTTTACACAATTGATGGATTGTGATGAGTCGTATGAGCCCCTAATAAAACGATTAAAACATATATTTATAAAGAAACTATATTTCCAATAGCAAAGTATAACTGCAATAACTTTCCACAGCTGTTAAATACACAGAGGACTAAATACTGCTAAAATGGACAAATTAATCAGAATTAGAGCTTCACTTGCTTTAGCTTCCACAACAACCATTTCCTTCCACTGGCTCATTCCCCATGTGCCATTCGGCAAGGGGGTCCAATGGACTGTGTGACATGCACCTGGATGGGCTTCCCTAAAGAAATAAGGCTGCTCTAAATAAGAAAACTTCAAAAAGTCCATGGAAAATGGAATTAACAATAAAGGAGTTTTTCCATGAGCATTTTGAAGCACCCTCATACAATGCTAATGACAGGAAGAAAGGAACAAAAGGAGTCAAAATATTGTTTGATCTATTTACAGGTATTTTACTTAGAAAAAAACTAATCATTTTAATATAAACCGTTTAGGCTAAATGCACACGCGCACGCACGCACACACGCGCGGGCGCGTTTTCTCGGTAATAACAGCACAGCAAACTCCCGATCATTTTGCACAGAGTTATTCAATTAGCTGATTTAAACGACTGCTTGATTGAAAATTCTGATTTTTAAGTCATATGGTTACTGAAGAAGCCTGGTGATGGAGTGGGTTATGAATTAGTATACTAACGACAAGGTCAACAGTTTGAAACCACCAGCTGCTCCACGGGAGAAAGATGAAGCTTTCTACTCTGGGAAAGAGTTCCACATTGACAGTTGTACCCTGGTATAGGATCAACCTGAGTCTAAATCGATTCAATAGCAAGATTGGGTT